CTGTTATAGCTTGAAAATAGTACTATAATATATGTCATATATGAAATTTACACTTAAATTTTTTATTGTCGTAAGTCTTTAAATTCTTTTGGCTCAATTTAGTAATTTATGATTCTATTGAAGTCTATTAACTAACCATTTTTTTTTATAGATAGATAGAGAGAGTTTGTAATATTTAATTAAAAAAAATTAATAGCTTATCATATTTATCATCGTGCGAAGCACGGATAAATTCATTAATAATTAAGAAAAGAAGAAATAACATATATTATTTGAATTGCTTAAAACATAATATAAATCGTAATACTTAATAACTTAAAAGGTATTCAAAAGACATATAAAAAATTTGGTTGTTTCTCAAAATTTTATCAATATCACATAAATGATATATATTTATTTCAAAAATTACGTAAAGATATTATTAATATAATAATTAATAATTAAAAAAATATCTAAAATTCATATCAAATCTAATTTGACTATCTAAATTTTATTTATATCACATAAATTGAAAGAGATAAAAAAAAACGCATATTGAACCCATGCTAACACGAGTTGTAGTGTCTAGTGTTGATGTTGAATTAATAAAAAGAAGAGAGAAATTAGAAATCCTATCCATCCAAAATCTAAAAGAAGGACCTAAAGAGAGTTTTGGTTGTTCTTGGAGGGAGATGACACCTGTTTTGACAGGTGTTGGAATTAGGTGATAAAATGACACGTGTTATGTCATAAGTGATAAGTGTCACTAGGTAGATCTATTTAAATGACTTGTTGTACATTATTATTGTTATTATTAGATTGTAGAAACAAAGATTAAGCATTAGAGGGAGAGGCGTTCAAAAGAGAAAGTTAAGTCAAAATGCAAGCCATGAAAGAAACTGCATCTAATATTAAGTCTGGTATTGAAAAGACCAAAGTTGTTGGTCAAGAAAAGGTTTTCTACCTCTTCCCATTTTTTATTCTCTCGTTCATTATTACTTGTTCATTATATTATTTTGAAATGTCTAGTTTATAAATGAGATATCTAACCATAGTTGTCTAGTTTATAAAATAAACAAATAATTTATCATTTTATATATATATA